CGTCTTATGGAGTCTGCATAGCCCTCAACACAGTGGTTTACGTAGGTTTATTCCAGTATAGTCTTGCGTAGCCAGACTTTCAGACTGACGGCAGAAGGTCTGGACTCCATCACTGCTTTATTTGGCTAAGGACCAAGGTTAAGCTAGGTTGATATAAGCTAGTGTAACAACTCGTCTGATATCAAAGACAAAATGAAACACACAAAAAAATAAGTGGGGGATCACATCCAAATATAATTGCCAAACACCAGCTCAAAGTGAATATATATCAAAATAATATATCACAACAATAATATATCACCATAAAGCAATAATATCCTATACGATCACCCAAAACCCAGTCCAATGAGTCCTTCAACATTAGTTCAGTCCATACAATGTAAACACAAAATCATAAAATGATAATATGGATAATGTGTGTGTAATGGAAATAACGAACCTGTTATCCAGCGATGACCAATCCGATTGTTACCGCACAATAGTTCAGTTCAAAGTCAGATCAGTTGCAACTACAGTCCCATCACAGCAAAAAACTCACTCAGCCAAAACTTGTAGTCCTCAAAGGCCGGGTTAAAAAATATATATATATATAATCCACCAAGGTAATCCAACTGAAGAAAATGTGATGCTGGGGTTAAGTCCGTAATGAATACAATGATTCCAGGTAGCACACCAAACAACACAATTGAGGAAATATATATGCCCTACATTGAGCGTTGCAAACACACTGTTCCTCAAATAGTAACTCAAAACCCCTCTTAAAAAAAAAGAGTGAGCCATCTCCAAATCGAGCCACCACATGGCATATCAGATAGATTACTCATTCTTCTTTTTATGGGTATTCTAACCCCCTTACCTGAGGGCGTTGCCCCCTGGTGACCAGGAAGATAATTACAAAACAGCTATAGTCAGCCAGTAATAGTGAAAACCCTCTGGAACTGTTACACAAGGACCTTAGCTAGGTTGGCTAAGGTTGATTAAGGACCTTTATTTGGCTAAAAGGACGTCTGAATGACGTGTAAAGCCACCAAACACAGTTAGTTTTGTTCTGCGTCATGTTTAAGGGCATGAGAATGTAAAGTCAATGTGCCTGCGATAACAGACCGGTGTGCATATAATAAATTATTCATTCAAGAACGTTGTGTAAGTTTACTGCATCAACAGCACTGCAAACTTCTCATACTTTTTAAAAACCAGCGTTTAGTTGATCCTGGTAAGCGCTTATTGTCACAGCTGTAAACACGGCGGCTTTCTTCTTCCATTAGGGGGTTTGGCTTCACGATTGTTTTGTTTCCAGGGGGACTGTTAAAGAACGCAACACACACGTCTCCCGGGCATCATGTAGAGTTCAACCAATCAGATCGCGACTTCGAAATTTGCGACTTCCCATTTTGTGTGCCTTATGCATCAGACGTTAAGCCAACGGTTGGTGGGCGTGATGTCTGAGGCTGAGACTAATTCCCGTATGACCCTTTGAGACCATCATTAGTGGTATTGTGTAAAAACAAATGTAATATCTCGATTACTTTTGCTCATACTTAGGGCTGAGGATCTGAACAAAACCCTATCAAATTGGGAATGTAACTCATCCCATATTTATTCGACAGACATGAATAATACCTCAAATTGTAAGGATGATGGAGGAATTTTTGGGCCATAGCGAGAGACCACAGACTGTTGACAGGACAACCACCTAACAATACCCAAGCTGCTGGATAATAACGTCCTGGAAACAGACCACAACATCCTAGTGGAGGCGAATTTTGCATGGATCATTCCCATTTTGGTGGAAAATCTCGATTAAATACCTTTTGTCGTAAGACTTTTGAGGTCATGAATGTCATAAGGAGTATGGGTGTAAATGCCTATTCACACTGAGAACCATAACTATAAAGATAACTATAATGATTTTGCATCACCAACACATTATAAAATTCTGTTTATTACTCCGCACTGCATTTTTTAAATTTGCTGCTTTAAATGCTTGAGCTCTTTAAAGCACTATCATTCATCAGCTGGAAATTCACCACTGCTTTTTTCAGCATCTTGTGCTTGAGTGCTGAACTGAAATGGCATTTCAAGCAGCTCAACTTGTAAAAAAATCTGCTTTTTTTAATCTCGTGGAGTGCAGGTCACACCATTTCTCATCACAGACAGACAGACAGACTATAGAAGGACTGCAGATGTTAGAATAGTCTTTTCTTCCCGATTGTGACGTGTATCCGAGTGAAACAATTTCTGGAACAAGAAAAAAAATGTAGGGCGGGACTTTATGGGGAATAGAGTGATGCAGAGATGACGTCAAAACCCAGAATACAGTGGTTCCCTCAAGATTTTCATGAAACTTACTTTCTCTTTGAATCGCAGAAAGCATTAACATGGCAAGGAAAAAGTCACTCAGATTCCTGACAGTAGTGTGGTCTTTATAATTAGCTTACTTGGTGTCATGTTACTACTCATTAACATTAACGAGACCAAACAATGAACTGAAAGAACTGAGGGCTTATGGAACAACAGGGACACTAACGAGGGAACTCAGACAAAACGCAGGAAACACAGTGAAAACGAAACCATGACAGAATACATGTGTGAACAAGCTTTAAATCTGGTGTGCCAGCCACAATACCCACTTATGAGAATGAGCAATGACAATGAGCAGCCACCGAAATCATAAAAACTATACAGTTCTGTTCACTGGAACCATTTTCAGACACTTGTTATTGTGTACAAGTCATGAAAGAGTCTTAAAACCATGACACAATGGCTTCTCGCACTAATAAAGCAGGGGTGAACCACAAGAACATGTTCTGAGGCATGGGAGGTTTTGTCTTTCGATTCGCCTTGAGGAAGAATTACTCTTTGAAAATACCCCTCATTTTAGGAGAGGGTCCGTCTATCTACAATCTAAATCTAGCCAGACATAGCTTAAAGTAGTAAAGCATGCAGAGACATGCCGGATTTCTTAATTCGTCGGGAAGCACCATATTTACCATATTTATTAGTGGTGTTTGCCAAGGCCCGCATCACTACTATGAAGAAAGTCCAGAAGAGAGAGAGGGAAAGGAAGGAGTGGGTGGAGGGTTGAGTAGTGATGAGAAGATGCAGAAGTGTTTCCCTGGATCTGGATCACACCGGCGCTTGTGATTTCAACAGAGAATAATGCAAGATGCTTGACTTCCTTCATCTACTTCCACCTGATTTGAGTTCCTTAATTCTCTTTACTTAAAGAAACTGTGCAATCTCTATATCCTGATAGACAACATATTGGTGTTCCACTTATAAATTGGTGCATTATTTCTCTCATGAGATTAAACTAAACTAATAAAATCTTTATATTGAAGGACTTTTTCTTCTGGAGAAAATGAAGAATTCAAACTTACTATTTCAAACACAGAGGCTTAGAGAATATCTTGTTGCAATAACAGCAACGCGTCTTAAAAATGACGATTCAGCAGAAAGAAAATCAGCGAGAAGTGACAAAGAGACGGAGCACGTTTCTTCCCACGTCACACCGTATGATGACAGACAGATAGCTAACGTAACGCGGGTTACCCTTGATATGGGAAGCTGGGAAATTCTGATGGATGGACACAGAATCCGAAATTCTCCTTTGCGCGAATTGCACCATGATCAAATAACACAGTTTACCTCAATGTCAAACGTGCATGTGTGTGTCAACCGAGGGCAAGATGATATCCAGCACAGATATGTCTCTAAGATGTCTGCCCTTAATCTGGGAAACATCTGTTTTGATACATTCTCTAAGTCATAAACATTTTCCAAATGTCTATTTAACATCTGACACACAACATCCGATGTTCCAGATGTAAATGCAGACATCAGATAGACATCTCTGTGATGTACATGTGCTGTCAGAGATAAACCCCGTTCTGTGAACAAACTATAAATGTAAGATTGATATCTTGACACCCACATGAAAACTGACAAGTTACATTTACAGTCAGACCCAAAATGATTCAGACACCAGATATCATTTTTGACATTTTTTTTTACTAGTGTGTGCAGGACACTATAGTTCATTTATGTGAGTGAGGAGAGCAATATAAAGTAAACTGTGACATATTATACCCAGAAACTCTTCATACAGTGACTACCAGTAACATTTATACAAATTTGGGAGCAATAATTATTCCGACACTTTGACCTGATCATGTTTTGCTGAAGTGTTTTTTCTTTAATTGCTAATGCTCTTTTTACACACAGACTGAACAACATGAAGCATTGCTTGGTAATCGGTTGAGCTAAACTGGTATTATCTAATTGTGTAGTTAAATTTAACAGCTGACAGATATTCAACATAATTCATCTGTGAGAGTCTAACAGAAGGACGGACAAAACCAGTGAAATATCAACTGATCTGAGAACTCTTGTCATACCATTTTCTAAACTATAGCGAATACACTCTGATAATGTGAGAAATGTTGAAGGTATCTGAATAAATTTTGGTATGACAAATGTACACATAAAATGTATTGCTGTTATTAAACCGTTCTAGTTTTAGGTTATTTCTCGTGCCCCTTTCGATGACCTATAATGCTGAAAATATATGGTAATAACCTTTTAGAATGTGTTACACATTGCTCAAAACTGAACACTTGCACTTCATATTAGTAATTGTTTTAAAACAGGGAAGTGAGTGGTCATTGTGAGGTCAAGTGCCAACTACACGTCAGAGCATTGGTCAACACTGTTTCTGCTAGACTGTCCTTTAAATATGACTCATATTTAAATGTACTAACGTAAAAAAAAGAAAAAAGAAGAAGACAAAATAGCAATAAAATAATTAAACAATGAGGACATGATGACTAAGTCAGGGCAAAAAGTAAAAAGTCATATTGAAGTCAGACTAAATGGGCGGAGCTCAGAGTGGAATATAAAGCAGGGCCATTCACAGAGAGAGAGAGCGAATAAGCATTCAGACTGTCCTCAGGTCAGTCCTCTCACTCCTGTCAGCTTTTCCTCTGAGCCTCTCTGAAGTCTTTGTTTGAGTAAACCCTCGGGTTTGTGTAGTCTCGCTTGTCGCAGTGAAGATGAGTGTTGTTGCGGCTCTCCTGCTGGTGTTCCTGAGCGGATCCCCAGAGTTCGCCGAAGCCTGCAGCTGCTCTCCTGAACATCCCCAGCAAGCCTATTGCAATGCGGATGTCGGTAAGATTCCACGCGTTAACTATTTCATATCCATAGCCATGTCTATATTACATTAATACAGTCTCTGTCGTGTGCGTATGGCAGCTTTAGCATGTCTATGTTCATATGTGTCAACGAGACACCATCTGACAACATCTTTAATTCTGTAATAATCTATGCAGAAACAACTCTGTTTAATAAAGTTAATTCTATTACTTTTCATTTAGACTGCAGTCTGTATTAATTACAAATGTAAAAGAAAAACTTTTTTTTAAGTAAGTGACTTATTGCTGGAATGTTATTGGAGTTGTTTATTGCACTATTAGTATTATTATTTCATGTTTTATACATGTGTAGAAAAGGCTTTCATTGTATCTAAAATTTAGAAAATTCTCTAAAAGTATCATTTGATTCTTCTAGTGTTCAGGACAACTGATGTTAAAAATACCTCAGAAGTCATAATATTAAACATGCTTATGTGCTATGCTTTAATTAATATGATAAGGCTATATCAGTGGGAATAACAACACTAGGGCCTGTCATGTTTATCGTCTTTATTTTTATCTTGATAGTTTCATTCGCTCTGTTTCATTTGCTTAATATTCTCAATTATCAATGTGGATAATAACTTTATTTAACAGTTTCCTTGTTACACCTACTTACCATAGTAACAGTAAATTATGTATAATTACAAGCAACTAGCTGTTAACCAAACCCTAACACTATCCCTATAGTAATTACATGCTCATTAATACTCAATACTTATTGGTGTAACAAGGACCAGAAATGGGTGGTATATCTTAAGTATTGTAGCACAGTATAAATCACAATATAGTTGCTGTTTTTGTGGCAATATAATCCAGTGAATTAAATACTGTAGAAATTAAAAGTATTTCATCTCTCGTTTGATTATTTTCTCTCTTTTTTTGACTTTATGGTAAAAAAAAACAAAAAACGAAAAGATTATTCATAAATGAATGACGAGTCTCACATTATATAATAGGTAATTAAAACAAAAGACTCAAAACAATACAAATAATATTCTGATGTTAAACTCTGATTCACTTTTCACAAGTCATTATAAAACAATTTTACACACACCTGTTAAATTCTGTATAATAATACAGAGGTGGGACGTAACTTGGCAACAATAAATAAACGCATCACTTCCCTTAATAACAGGTTCTGCTAAATCCTGACTTGTTTGGGACACATCCCACTCTACATATTATATATATATATATATATATATATTAGGGCTGTCAAATGATTAATCGTGATTAATCACATCCAAAATAAAAGTTTTTTTTACATAATATATGTGGGTGCACTGTGTATAATTATTTTGTATATATATAAATACACACACATGCATGTATATTTAAGAAAAAAATATTATTTATATATAAAATATTTATATTTATATATAATATAAATTATATATAAATCTATATACAGTATATACATGAAAATATTTCTTAAATATATACAAGCATGTGTGTGTATTTATATATATAAAATAATTATACACAGTGCACCCACATATATTATGTAAAAAAACTTTTATTTTGGATGTGATTAATCACGATTAATCATTTGACAGCCCTAATATATATATATATATATTGCACAGTTGTACCCCATTAACCAAAAAAATCATAAAGATTAGTACCTAAGAATAATTAAGAATAAATGTAATTTTGAAGCACTCGACAGATGAATTATCATGTCCCCAAACATGTTTTCTCAACTTCACTTTAAATTAAATGTCACATATATATTTCTAAATGATCAATTTTGAGTATTAGGTTATTTACTTACTTATTCTCTTTTACGTAAAACACAATTGATTGCATATGATGCAATTGATGCATATAAATTCAAAAAAGTAAAACCATTAAATTAGTTTATGTCCCTCAAACAGTCCACCCTGTTACATTGGTGCTATTTGCCCTTTAAAATCTTAAACCTAAAGCACATGACTTGGCGGAAGTGACATCATTTCCTTAGAGGGGAAAAAAAACTCCAAGAACAAAGTAGCCTAAGTGTTAGTCATAAACCTTTCGTAAACCATAAAGACTTGCCGAATAGCATAAAACATGTCCACCCTGTTGTGTCAATTTACACTGGACGTGAAAACGTTTATTTGTTTATTTTTACATAAAAAAACAAAAACTCCTTAATGTTAATTATCTGCTAGCTAGCATGTTGTTCTTTTCTAGCTAGTAATGGGCATCATTATAGCTTAAAACATCCACCCTGTCATTCTTTGCATTGTAAATATGTCATGTAACAGGGTGGAAAACATAATATATTCGTATGAAATATTTGATCTGAATTATTAGGTTATACTTGAGCATTTTCTGATTTTTTTTTTTTACACATTTTCTGCCTCTGACAAACCTAAAAAAATAACTGATTTTAACAAACCTGCTCAGTCCAAAATCCACTAAACTATAGGAATGACCCATGGTGACTGCATAAACTATATTGCAGAATCTTTATCCGTTGACACATTTCTACATTTCTACAATGCTGAAGTGATGGGGAGAATCGTAAGCCTAATTTTAGCTTTATTATGTCATTGTGTGTAACCCGCCTCAGATCCTCTGAGCTTTGCTGTCCCTAGAATACCCTGCCATTACATGACCTGTGCATTTTCCATTGTCTGCGTTGCCCTGTGAGTAAAACCTCTTTCAACAGGATGATTACAACTGCAAAAATTGAGAAAGTATTGCCACATGGTAGCAACATATTGTGGTTCGTCTTTGACGAAAGTTAGATGGTCATTACATGACTCGGGACGGTGAAACTTGGGTCACTGTAGTCAGAGCCCAATGACCACACGCCCACCTTTGCATTTAGTGATCGGTTGAAAACAACATCTGCCGCCCACCACAGGAATAGCCGATCTCATTCTCGTATGTGGCATCATGATGCTGGCCGTTTGAAACTCCCACGTCGTATTTGCCTGATGGTTTTGAGAGAGTCGAGTCACGTAGCGCTTTGTACAATCCAGATAGTTTCAAAGCAGTTTCACAGTGAAAAACAGTGTTAATGTTGGTCAATTATGGAACAAATTCAATTTCAGCTGTAAAGCAGTTCAACAGAAAACAATAGTGTTGCCATTCAGCTCAATTTAGTTCAGTGTTGATTCAATTCAGTTCAATAACAGAATCAATGATGCAGAGGTCATTCATTATTAAATACATTGATACCGTTTTGAACTAAATGTGGAAAGCTTTGTATGCGTTTTGGCCGTTCATTTGGCCTTAAAATGGGTTTCAGCAAGTTTTTGAAAACAATATCGTCTCCGTGTAAACTAAAAAAATGCGAATTTGTGAAAATACTGAGAACATGCGCATGTTCAGTCTATAGATGCAAAGTGTTTTTATATCGCCATCTACTGGCCTGGCATGAATAATAGAGAACGGGGTGAACGGGGATCGTTTTGACAACATTGTCGTCTGTAAGCGAATAACACAAAGGAAAAACATTTCCATTTTTAGTACATTGTTGTCATGTTAAGCCCAAAGTGCACTTCATTTTTTACGAGTACGCTAGCGTATGCATATAGTCGAACTAGAAAGTGTTACGGTATTCCCATGTGACCTACAGAACCAGTAAATGAATAATGTGTAGGGCTCGCTTTCCCCCTCACATACCTGCAGCTGGAAACAGCGCACACACTGTGTGTCCCACACTTCCACCTCGGTATGGAATGAATGTGTGGAAAAGGGAGGCTGTGATTAAACCAGCATAAACCCTGCATGTGTGTGTTACTGATGAGACAGGCATGCCTGACTTGAGACTGGGATCCTGTGGGTGTATTTGGCATTCTGAGTGTGTGGCCAATAGAAAAGACACTGTGTTTGGGCCTGAATATACGGACAGTGTGTATGGGCACTCGGATAGATGAGGGGAAGAGTTTTATAGGGATCTCTTATTCCTATACAATACTGTTTAAAAGTTTGAGGTCAGTGAATGTTTTTAAAAGAAGTAAAGGCTGCATTTATTTGATCAAAAATACAGTAAATACGAAAATAAACTGTGAAATGTTATTACACAGTTTTTACACAGTTCTCTGAAATGCTTGATTCTGATTGGTCATTCGCATAATGTGTCGTCAATCATAAAACCGTCGTCAATTGCAACGCTGTATAATGACTGCTGCTCATCCGGGTATTTGAGGCCGACGCTTCAAATGTATTATTTTATTTATTCCTTATTTTTATTTTTTACTTCATCAGAATGGTACGAAACTTGATAAAGGTTTTGCACTTGATAAAGGTTGTGAACACACACAAAAAAAAATCATGGAGATGATTCGAACAGGTTAAATGGAACAAAATAGTCACACTTGTGCTCCTCACGGTCAAAAATGTCCGTATTGGAAATGAATGGGAGATTGATTTCATCTAGTGGAAACTTTTGGTACTGCAGCCAAACAAAATTGTTTGAGATATCAGGCTCAAATATTGAACAACAACTTGTTTGGATGTATGGCTTTGATTTTTTCACAGTTTTAGAGTTAACAATTGAAAATAGTAATTTTGCGCATTTTTCATAACAATAAACGTAAAACTTTTTTTAAGTTAACTTTTTAAAACTTTTTTCAACTTCAGCAATAATCTGCCAAGTATGGAAGCTTGTTTCCGCCACTGAATATATATTTTTTTTTTTTATAATTGCGACTTTTTATCTCACAATTGCGATATGAAGTCAGAATTGTGAGAAATAAAGTCGCAATTGCGAGATATAAAGTCGCAATTCTGAGAAATAAAGTCGCAATTGCGAGATATAAAGTCGCAATTCTGAGAAATAAAGTCGCAATTGCGAGATATAAAGTCGCAATTATGAGAAATAAAGTCGCAATTGCGAGAAAAAAAGACAGAATTGCGACTTTTTATCTCACAATTCTGACTTTTTTTCTCACAATTGCGAGTTTACATCTCGCAATTCTGACTTTATAACACATAATTGCGAGTTTATATCTCGAAATTCTGACATCTTTCTCAGAATTGTGAGATATAAACTCGCAATTGCGAGTTATCAGGCCAATTCTAAGGGGGAAAAAGACTAACTTTTTTCCCCTCAGAATAGTTTATATCTCACAATTCTGACTTTACAACACGCAATTTTGACTTTATATCACGCAATTCTGACTTTATATCAATCAATTCTGACTTTATATCTCGCAATTGCGACTTTATATCTCGCAATTCTGAGAAATAAAGTCAGAATTGCGAGATGTAAACTCCCAATTGTGAGAAAAAAAGTCAGAATTGTGAGATAAAAAGTCGCAATTACCTTTTTTATTTTTCATTCTGTGGCGGAAACAAGCTTCCATAGCCAAGTGTCGTCTTTGATTGGAGATCAAACTTAAGCCTGTGCTCTTACGCATTCAACATTTACAACGAGTTTAAGTTGGAAATTAAATTCTCAAGTCTATGCTCAAAAAGTGCATAAATGGATTATAAATACAGTGTAAATATAATTTAGGAGCATAAAATCCCCTTGAAAATACAAAAAAACATTATCGAACTAAAATATAGTACATTCATTTCATTGAAATAAAACAATTTCGATCATTTTTGACCCACACGTGAAGAGCACCAGAGGGCTAGAGGAAGAAGCTCTCATTTACAAATCTCTATCTTGTTCAAAGCATCTGATCTACCGACTGAATTTGCTTATTACAAAGAGATGAGTTTGGACTGAGCATTTGGTATTTGTATGTCAGCAGCTCTATGGGGAGCAGGCGGTGTGAGGGAGGAGATTAAAGCGAGCGAGCGGGGGTCCCGCTAGAGTCAGACTGCTGACTGGCTTCCTGAGAGCACATTCCTCACACGGCCCTCCGCTAATCAAACACTCATGTGTCTCCATGCATACGCCCAGCTCTCAGCACCTGTAGCACAGACACCAGATCAGTCATCTCTCTATACTTGCAGGATAACACCCGTCTACAGTTAAACGGGCCAGACAACATTTCAGGTTGAATGAATGCGTTTGTTTTTTCAGTCATCAGAGCCAAAGTAGTCGGACGGAAGGAGGTGGTTACCGGCAATGATGCCTATGGCTATCCAATCAAAATGATCCGATATGACGTCAAACAGATGAAGGTTAGTGGAGAATGTTCTAACATCAAGCCAAACGCAAAACCATTGAATTATGTCAGAATTGCCATAATTGTAAGATATACACTGTTACCTTGGTACAATTACTCGTACCATGATATGCCAATTTGCAACGTAGCCTTATTGGAAAAATCTACCAACATTAGTACCTGTAGATACTGTTTACTACAGTTGAAAACACCCTAAACCAACTAGAAACAGTAAAACACCAACAACTTTTATTCCTTTTCACACAAATTATGATGACATGCGCAGATTAAAGACATATTTTCACGTGGTTATGACCTCAAAACACTTTTACCATAGTGCATGAATTTGTAAACTAATACATTTTGATGTTTGCATCATAACAGCACCTCTTCTGAGCAAGTACACTTGCTCGTAGCCTCACCTGGTACAGCACTGGCACTGCGAGTCACAATAAACAACTCAAAGACTTGATGAAGCAAGCTAAAATGGCACGACTGCTTTAGCAAAGGAATATTTATCTCCTGTTTACACTATCGGTTATGTTTTAGTGTAGGTGGCATCTCATTTTCAATCTGCTACACGTACAACATCAGTAAAATGCTGCCAGATTCACGGCAACACGGCACGTTTTAATATAAAACTCTTTTTTCACTCACTGGACATTTCACTATAAAAATTGTTGCGAAATGTGCAATGAGCAATGTAATATTTCGACACAGGCATGTTTTTTTCAAATGAGCCTGAGTTGCTTCATTGCTCATTATTGCTAATGACTTCAAAATACTTATGTAAATAAATACATGCATTCATATATATGGAAAAAACATGCCTGTGGCGAAATTTTATACGTTGCTCATTGCAACACTTTCAAAGTGAAATGTCCAGTGAGTGAAAAAAGAGTTTTATATTAAAACGTGCCATGTAAATAAAAACATACATTCATATATATGCTATATATTCATATCATAAATTCACCTAATTATTTTCCAAAAGAAGGTGTTCCAGATGAAATGAAATGACATCTTCATATCTTCTTCTCCCACTAGATGTACAAGGGCCCTGAGGGAGAGGTCGAGACCGTCTTGACGGGCCCCTCCTCAGCGCTGTGCGGGGTCACTCTCGAGAGCAATGGCAAGAAGGAATACCTGATCACAGGTAAGAGTGAATTAGCAAACTGTGGAGAAGAGCATTCTACACAGCAAAAAATCCAGTGTTAAATTAACTCTCCTGGGAGTTTATATGACTCCACACTCAAGTGTTAAATTAACACTGAAGCAGTGTTAAAGTTAATGAGATAATTAAGTGATTAATTGAGAGATGATTGACCAACATTGAAGACACCTAATGTTAACAAGTAGAATCACTGAAGGTGAAAAATCTAAATTTTAAGTCACCATTATGGCGATCAGTGTTTGCTTCAGTTGGGCAGTTAACCCTTACATTTTTTACTTTAGATTTAGTTTGGCTGTTGTAACAGCGTTATAACTGCCAGATGAACAAAGAGAAAAGATGATCTGATGGTGTTGGTTATGTTTTAACAAAATCATCAGTTGACCTGAATCACTGAACTAATTTAGAGCTTAATCTCTGACTTAAATGTATGTTGTTGATTACAGCATCACAGTGATTCTACAGCGTAAGATCCAGAATTTTTGATACAATTCAAATGCTTTCTTAAAAGTTGTTCTGATAAAAAAATCTTTATTTTAGGCACTCACAGACATCAAGAATCAGTGTATGAATCTCAACAATGGTGACAAACTGAATAATCAATTAGGAAAAGGAAATTACTAAGACAATTCAGATCATAATTTATTCATACTGCAATGCATGATGGGAGCCATCAATGAGTTTTGATTGGTGGAGCCCATAACGCACTT